AGGGGAGGGGGTGAGTCACGGCCGCGCCCCCGCGGGCGCGAGGCTGGAGTGAGGGCTGCGGGAGCCTACGCCCGCCGCCGGCGCGCCCCACGCCCACTGCCGTGCAGCTGGGCCCGGCGGGTCCAGGGGGGTCTCATCCGAATTTTAACTCGGGAGCTGGACTAAGGGGAGATCAAGATTCCAAATGCCCCCAAATGCCTGCTGAGGGGTAAGGTAATGGGGTTGGGGAGAGCGCGCCAAAGCCCGGCCCCTGAAAGTTGGCCTCGCCCATTAACCAAATCACTCAACTCCCCTAGCCGGTTGGGTCACTTGGGAGATTTTTCTCTCTGAATGTGAATGTTTCTCTTAGTATTTTTTTTTGGTGGGGGGAGGAGGTTGCCTCATGATCAAGTCACCTCAGTTTCCCCGGAAACCCCTCGAAACCCCATAATTCATCCACCCTGCCGAGGAACCCGAGCCCCAAGGCCGCGTGAAATTGCACTGTCTCCGGCCGCTTCCTCCTCCAGACCCGGCGCCGGCCCGGCCTCTCCCGGGGATTTGGTTGGGGGGCGGGGGTGGTTTCCAGCCTGGGAACAGACCCGAAGCCGGCCTTTCACTTCCACCCCGGGAGGGGCTCCCGCACCTGTCGCCGTCCCCTCTGCTGCCCCCCACGGCCGCCTGGGAGAACAGCTGCCTCCCCTTCCACACGAGTCTGACCGCGCCGTCGGGGCGGCTGGAGTTCTGCTGCTCTTCTGCGGACTTAGATGGGCACGCTGTCCCCACCACAGGTGCTCACACCTTCCCGGGCGCCTCCAAGCCCGGCCTGGCGCTGGAAAGGAAGAGGAAGAGGAGGGAGCAGTGAAGGGGGATGTAGAGGGGGCACTATACCCTGCACCCGCGGATGGCCTGGGACCCTGGCACCTCCACCACCAGCTCCCTCATCCGGGCCAGAGGCGGTCAGGTGCACTGCGAACGGGGCCAGCCTCTGGACGGATCCGCCGGTAGCCCCCTGGTGCCCAACCCGCTGCAGTGAGGCCCATAATTGGTATTCCAGATCTCGTCCAGAGAACCTAATTATTTTCTCCAGAGTTTCAAGTCTGAAATCAAAAACAGTTGAGCCTTAATGAAGAAAAATTTCGCATCTCCGAGCCAAGCCTACAGGCTAAAATGCTTTAAACTTACTGTGTATTGTTATATACCCTAGAGGGCCCACTCTGCTTCAGGTTTACCTTTGCTCTAGGGCGTTGGCCTTGTCCTGACTACTTGCATAACAATCCTAATAGGGTAGTAATAACTTCAGCGAAACAAAATATACATGCATAAACCACTTCATTTGCGAGCATTTCTTACAATTTAGAGAATGTTTCACTTAACATAAAAATGACGTGTGCTAGGCAGACATTAGTCTACATTTTATGGAACTGGAAATGAGTGACTTCTTCAAGGGCATCCACTTGGTGACAGTGGATCACAAGGAGGGACTTGGGTTTTTGCCTAGGATTTCTTATGTCACATTGAAACTGGAGCATCATCTGCTCAGAATCAAACACCCATCAGGTAACAGCAGGGTTAAGGAGCCTTTCATTTTATTATTTACCCACCTCAACCTAGTGTTCAAATGCCTGATTCTGAAGGAGGAAACCCATCTTCGTTTTTTATTTGTAAGGCAGTTGTATCTATTTATAAAGGTTGTTCGGATTTAATGAGAAAAGGCAGGTAGGGCTCTTAATTACTGTTGTGCTGGACCTTTAGAAGCATCCAATGAATGCTAGCTGTATTTATTACTACTATAACCAGCCCCTTTGCTTCTCTCCCCTCCCCAACTAGATCCCAAGGTGTGTTTGCTAGTATCCATTCTTCAATACATACAGAAACATCGAGCTAAGAGCCTCAGGGACATAAACACTAGATAAGAGGACAAGTAAGGGGACAACTCAGTTGGGTGCTACCCTGACTAAAATAAAGGGAGGCTTTGTTTACAAAAGCTTTCTGCAGTTATCCAGCATCCCTTTACTTTTCCTTACTCTTAACTGATGACTTTTGTACTTACGTTACTGTAAAAGTAAAAGTAACCAGCCCAGCCAGGCATGGCTCAACTATCGAGCTTCGACCTAGGATCCAGGCGATCGGGGTTCGATTCCGGGTCAGGGCACATGCCTGGGTTGCGGGCTAGGCAGCCGATCAATGATTCTCTCATCATTGATGTTTCTATCTCTCTCTCTCTCCCTCTCCTTTCCTCTCTTTGAAAAGAATAAAGATACATTTTTAAAAAATAAAAAAAGGAAAGTAACCAGAAGAAAGCATCCTATCTTTCTACCACCAATCTGGCTAATTTTCCTCCGTCCTCACTTATATACTCCGACTTCCATCTTGTTACAATGAATTGGCCTTGCTGCTATTTAAGCCAACTCTCACTCCCTCATTCCTCTCACCCCACCCTCCAGTTCTACACCTCAGTCCATTCTTTCTTGCCTTTCTGCTGTATCGTTCCCTTTCTCCCATGTTATCTAATTTTCTCTGTATTGGATTGTTCCATTAGCATACAAATGTACTGTAATATCTGCCATTAAAAAATACAACAAAACAAGTAAACTTTCTCTGACCCCCATGGCCTTCTAGTCCTTTGCTCCAAACTGCTGCAAGTTATTCTCTTTCGGATCCCTACTTTAATGATCACCTCTAGCTCCTGGATACCACAGCGATGCTGCAAGAGCAATAAATACCTTTGTACATGTCTCCTTTGGTTCTGTGACAATTTCTTATGCATGTTGAACTCCACGCTCTCTGGAATATCACACCATCAGTGGTGGGACTTTTCTATCCCAACTTCCTCACCAATACTTGACATTTTTCAAGTTTCCTTTTTTTTTAATTTGCCACGAATTTAAAATATTCCAAAGCATTTTTTTCCATTCCTAATTTTTAAAAAAATTATTATCTGTAACCGTTGGAAACTAATCTCATGAAACAACAGAATTGGCAAATGTCTTGAAATCTATATAAAACATAAATTATGCCTAATTTCAAACTCTCATTTATTAGTGTGCCACACGATCTTTTTTTACCAACCCACTTCACGTGTTGCAAAGTATACCATTCAATCTTGGAAAAAAAAAAAAGATGGCTCCAAAGATAGCCTTATACCATTCTTTTTTTTTTTTTTAATCCTCACCTGAGGAGCTGAGGTGATTTTTTTCTATTGCTTTTCAGAGAGAGTGGAAGGGAGAGAGAAACATCGATGTGAGAAAGACACATATTGGTTGTCTCCTACATGTAGCCAGGGCTGAGGATTGAGCCTGCAACTGAGGTATGTGCCCTTGGCTGAAATCGAACCCGGGACACTTCAGTCCACATGCTGAAACTCCAACCACTGAGTCAAACTGGCCAGGGCTTACTAAAAAGTTTTACGTATGGGGTGTGACTACCCACCATGACCTGCCCAGTCAAAAATTTATGATCAGATCACCCTGTGAGGTTACTTTCCAGAGAACCCCTATTTTCATCCACACCTTAGACTCATAGCATGTTTTGTCTTTAAAAGTGCCAATTTAGCCCTGGCCTGTGTGGCTCAGTTGGTTGGGCATCATTCCAGGCACCAAAAGGCTGCGGGTTTGACTCCCTGTCATGGCACATGCACGGGTTTCAGGCTCACTTCCCAGTAGGGGGTGTGCAGTAGGCAGCCCACTGATGTTGCACAATCACATTGATGTTTCTCTTTCACCCTCTCCCTTCCTCTCTAAAAATCAATAAAAAAATATTTTTTAAAAGTGCCGATTTAGTTTAAGGTTGGAAACAAGTGCTGAAAGATAGAATTACTGCCTCTGGGTCTCCTGACTCAAGGTCTGGGCTCTTCCTGCAGCAGCCACTGTGCTGAGGTTAAACCCAGGATCTTAACCATTGCCTGCAAGATGGGAAATGTTGCCACATCTGGCCAAGACCTCTGGTCCTCTTCTGCTCAAAGAGAAGCTCCCTAGAGCCCCACACTCCAGGCTCCTCTCTATGAGGACAGCCTACCACATAGTAAGTGTCCACAAACCACGAAAGAATAAGGCATTCTCCATGGAAGTGACTGTGATCCTGAGGGGACAAAAATCGTAAATACAGTGTGTAAACACACACACACACGTACTATATATACAACACACAATAAACAAACATACACTGTATCTATGGCATTACAATTTCATGGAGGAGTAAGATCCTGGCCACCAATTACATGTGTGGTTTCCCCACACCAAACAATTCAACACCTGCTGGGTGTCCTACAACTCAACTCAGTTCTAACATTACCTACCCAGAGACAGTGTCAGGTCCTTACAGGACTGTCTACCCCACACCCTTCAAATGCCAATCACAAGTCCAGGTTACCACCTGTGCTTTTGATTTACTGGCTAGAGATTGGTTTCAATGACCTCCTCTTCAGGTTTGATTAATTTGCTAGAGCAGCTCACAGAACTCAGCAAAACATTTTATTTACTAAATTGCCAGTTAATTATAAA